GCGCCTTTGTTTGCAATTGGCAGCGCACCATCGACCCGACAGGTCGCGATGCTCGCGCAAGCTGCCGCTTTCGTGCTACAAGAACAATCACTGTCCGAGCGGGGCCCTGCAGCATTGCAGAAATGGGCGCAGCATTCATTTCGTGTTGCCGGAGCCCAGATGTTCGCGAGAGCTAACGTGCCTGTGCCAACAATACAAGTCATTGGCAGATGGGGGTCAATGCCATCCTCAGGTATGTCCAGACGGCTGTGTTCGCGCCAGAGCGTGCAGCGCAGACGGTTCGTGAGGCATTGGAGGGCGGAGACCGCCAGACAATACAGTCTTCGGGTCAACGGCGCCCATAGTCCAGGCCACCACTGCAGGCGAGGTGTGGGCAGTTGTTCGCCGTGCGGTTGCAGAACTCTGGCAGAATTCCAGGCCATTCGCAATCCTCGAAGCAAGTTCGCCCATCGGCCCTCACCGGTGGAGAACACACTCAGCAGCGAGTATTGGGCCTCAGCCTGCGGCAAGTGGCACCATGGTCGCTCGAACGTCACCCAGTGGTCCTACGCGGCTTCAAGAAGTGCGCAAAGTGCTTTAGCAACGACCCGGCAGCGGCAGCCGAAGGTGAAGTAGAAGACGGCTCAGAGTGCACCAGTTCGTCCAGTAGCTAAAAAAAGTCCGCATTAGCAGAGGCCATCATTGCAGACACGGAAGTCAACTGGAGCGCTCTCTGCACTTTTGGAGCAGTCGCATCGACTAGACCCCACCCACCTCAGACCCTCGTGACAGCCATGGTGACAGGTGCAGCCCCGTCCTCGACACCGACGACTATACAACTCCGTCGCTTCCGCCGCTGTCCGACCTGGCGACTCAGTGCGCTCTCGATGCCCAGGTCCTCCAGTTCCTCAACGACGAGGGCGTGCAGAACTCAGGTGTGCTGTACCACATGTTCGCCAAGCGAAACAAATTCGCCAATTTCCTGGAGCCGCTGGCCATAGGCGTCAAGCTTAATAGAGTGGGCGTCAAGAAGGACACGACCCAGCTAGCCGTGGCGGAGGCTACGTTAGAGCGCATGCTGGACGAGCTGACGTTTGTCCGCAACCAGCAGTTTGCAACCGCTCCTAGCACGTTGCCCGCTTCGACTACAGCACCAAGTTCGTTGACGGCGGCCTCAGACCCGAGGAAGCCGCCCAAGTCGCTGCCCAAAGGATTGGGCACAAGTGGTCAAGGACTTCGAAGCCGAGAAGGTCGCAGGGGTCAACCGCGTCTTCCCAGTCAACCTCTTAGTCGGAGCTGACGGGGTGTTGGCTCGCATGGTGTTCGAGAAGACCGTTTCGGGCCTCTACTCCACCGCGAAGCTCGGGGAGGTGATGTCCTTCAGACACTTCACACCGTCAGGACAGGTCAACCCGTGGAATCGCTTCGAGACGGAACGTACCGAGAAGCTCACTTTCGAGAACGGCGCGTTCGTCAAGCGCCCGAAAGTGGCCCCTGAGCCTCAACGACTCTTGACGGTCATTGACGCGTTCGAGTCGGTCAACTGGGCTATGCTGTTCGCCAGGTGGGGGAAGGAACCCGACATCGTGCGCTTCTGCGAGTTCTTCATCAACATCGTTCGCGACAACCCCAACAAGATCCCCCAGGTCCGCGGGTACTACAAGAAAGTTTCGTGGGACCTCGCGATGCGCGTGCGGTCCCAGAGAATACGTTCGAGTCGGGGGTGGACAAAACCATCCAGTCCCCACCCAGACAAGTACGACGCCCTGGCACGCTGGATGCCACCAGACCGGTCTGGGAAAGGCAAAGGCAAGAAAGGCAAGGGCAAAGGTCGCAAGGCTCACCCCTACAACGGCAAAGGCAACTGGCGTTCGCAACCTCTCCCCACTCAGCCGGGAGCTCCAACTCAGACTGCCCAGTTCCGACTGTGGGCACAGGGGTTCTGCCGCTACGGCGACAAGTGCAAGTGTCAGCACGGCCCGGCGCCGCAGCCTGGCCAGCGCTACGGTTTCCCCTAGTGTCCCTAGTCCCGGACCAAAGCCCAACGTTCACACGTTCGCAAACACGCAAGGGCCCATGCAGAAAGCCAGTTCGCCCTAACACCCCTAACCCGTGTGCAGCTGAACCGCGTGGCCACACGCAGGATCAGCGCCCTAAAAACCCTAAGCAGGCAGAGCGCAAAGGTTTGTCCGGAGCACCAGAGCCCGGGACAGGGTCAGAGCAGAGGCCAGCGCAAGGGGCCCAGCAGTCGGCGCGTCCAAAGCCAGCAAGTTCGATTGCAACAGCCCCAAGCGCCACAGCAGAACAAAGGCGCAGGCGCGGTCACCGTTCGACGACCAGTGGCCCTCCTTTCGTTCTTCGATGGGGTTGCCACGCCTCACCAGGCACTGTTAGACCTTGGCATTATCCTGGTCCTCTCTTGGGCCTGGGAGACAGACCCGGAGTGCACACAGGTTGTCAAGCAGCGCCACCCTGACGTTCGCCAACGGGGAGACGTGTCCGCCTCTTCCCCTGAGAAGGTCGCGTCGCAGCTGTGTCAGGCGACACGCGCTGACGCTTTCGTCGTCGTGTGCGCGGCGCCACCGTGGCACGACTGCAGCGGAATCAAAGGCACAACAGCCTTGGGAACCTCCAGCCCAGAGGGGGCTAAGTTCGTTCCGTGGGCCAACTGGTGGTTAAGGTTCCGCCAAATGCTTCGCGACAACCCGTGTTCGATCCTGGTCGAAAACGTTGTCATGTCAGGGACAACCCAGGAGACCTTGGACAACAGCCTGCACCTTCGTTCGTTCTTGTGTGACGCCGCCTCTCGGCACCTGGTGTCTTGTCCGCGCCTGTGGTCTGACAGCATCACACCTCCGTCGCTCGAAACTCAGCAGCCCCCTGTCCGGCATGGCCAGGTGTAGGCGTTGGAACAGGCAATGGGAACTACTCCCTACGTCAGCAAGGTTCCCGAAGCAGCTGGCAACTTGAGGGTAGAAAAATGAGCTTCCGTTCGCAAGTACCAACAAAGATCCACACCAAGTTGGTGGTGTCCACAGCATACATCAGTTGGTTGGAGATGTTGGCACAGGTCATGGCCGTAACCAGTGTGGCCCCACACGTGCGCACGTACGTCGTCTGTTTCTGTGACAACACAGCAGCCGAGCACGCCCTCCGAAAAGGGTATTCCAAGGACGAGCAGTTCACCAAGGTCTTGTGTTGTTTTTGGTCATGGGTCGCCAGCAGAGGCATTTCTCTGTCCTTCCACCGAGTACCTTCAAAACAGAACTGTTCGGATGCGGTCTCGCGCGATGACTGGAAGTTTGCCGATGACAAAGCAGGCCACGTTCGACTTCGAGCCGTTCTACGATTGGCTTCGTTCGCAGCTGGATTCCGAGCTGGAGATCATGATCAGCTCCTTCGCGCAAGTCGCTGACAACCTGTCCGCGCACCAGGTGGGGAAACAGCGCGCGGAGATGGCGTGAAGCGCGCTGTTTTTCGGAGGCGTTCGGACCGATTGTTTCCGTTCGCCGCCCGAATTTCGACCAATAATTCGCCAGAGTGCGGTGTTGGGAAGAGTTCGTAGTTCATTGCTTGTGGGAGCGAATACTCTCGCAGTACAATCTGAACTTTCGAGCATAGCTTGTCTGGTGTGTTCTGATGTGGGGTACATGGGCACGCATCATGGGTTCGCGTCACGTCTTGGGAAGACTAGTGGTGATGGTGTGTTCGCTCGTAATGGTGTGTTCGCTCGTAGGAAACATGATCGTTCGGGCCTTTTGGGCTGCAGGATGAGTTCCCCACCTTTGCAGAGTTTTTGTGTTGTCCTGATTGGGTGATGTTATGTGCGTTCGCTGTTGGGTTGGTCGGCCCCTTTTGCCAAACCGATCTTCAATGTCATGCTTGTTATGCATGCTTGATCATTGTTGTGATTGCTGTCATGTGTGCCTTCTGAACAAGTCCCTGGATGCTGTAGCCACACTCTTGGCCATCCAGCTTCCAGGTGAAGGGCAAGTTACTTACGAAGATTTCATTGATGGGATCCTACGTTGTAAGGGTCCGGCTCGTGCAATTGATCAGACGCTCGGCTTAAACAAGAAGATCAAGGCGTGGCGGATCCACTGATTGTTCGAGCTGGCCTTGTCTTGTCAAATTCTGATGAAGGATTTGTCTGCAATGTGACGTCAAGCTTCTGTCGGACTCCGTTGTGCTCCCTGGACATTAACGCTTCGTGCTGATCTGCCAAACACATGATGCGCGTGTTTGACACGTTGAACCCAGGTATTTGACGAAGGCGTTAGAGGATGCGAAAATCATAAAGAAGAAGCGGGACCACAATAGAACCCGAAGAAGCAAACACCGAATGGAGGATGAGGTAGTGCTTCTTGGACCTACAAGTGGCTGCTGCATGTGGTCTGAATACGATTGTTTCTACTTACATTCCCACTCCAATGTCATCGTGCATGTGTAGAACGTAACCTGGAACCCCATGTGAAGCTGAGGCTCCTCAGACATGCTACAAGGGCTCTGTGATGCTACGAAATTGGCAGTGCCAGCTGTGCCGCTCGTTTATCCATGCCTGTTGAGGTTACATCTAGAACGTAGAAGCACTGTCTTCATTGTTTGCTCTTCCCACTGTTTACAAACAAGGGTCGCTGGCGCTTCGCTCACGACTAAGTCGATTAGGGCCAATAGTCCAGTAGTGAGTCTTGGATAATCCAGGCTCATGGACTTCAGCTCTCTGCACGGTACACCAAAGGCCAGCTGAATCAAGAACGAAATCGTTTTGTTTCTCTGCAAGCCCTGAGTGTTGACTTTGCGGCCTCTGGGAAATGCAGCAGTGCGCTGCCAAAACTAGACCACTGACACTGAGCCTAAAAAGGGCTGAAGCAGGGCAGTGGAGGCCTGGGATTAAGGGGGTAAGACGTCTCCATCTTCTGCAGAAAATGAGACCAGCACAGCGTGAGACAGCACGAGAGCTGATCCTCAGTCGTGCATGTGGCGCTGGTATTAGTTCTTCTTGCCATCGCAGTTGACCCCAGGCGGCACACGCAGCAGCCCCAACTGCAGCCCCGAGTGGAGAAGGTCAAGGCCCCAAGGGATTCTGGAGACAGACAAGTTTGGCGGATGGCCCCTGCAGATGTTGCACAAGAAGCTGCTGCAGATTTCAAGCAAGCAGAAGTCCATGGCAAAGCTGCGGATCCACAGAGCCTTGAAAGAAATCATACGTTCTGCAACTTGGTTTGAGCTGTGAGTGTGGAAAGAGTTTTGCGGCGGCACGCTACGTCTACGCTGAGGACTCCCCGCCAGGCGTGCTACTTGCCTGGCAAAGCTTTCGTCATGAGTAGACCAAGAAGGGTAAATTCAAAGCCGCAGGAGGAGCCGCGTGGAGATTCACCCAGGTCAAGTGCATCTGACAAGGCGCACTGTTTCCTTGGACAAGTCAGCTAGAGCCTCAGGGTTCCCCATATAGAACAGACTCTCTAAGAACCCCAGGCTCGGAGAGTCTCCTCCGCCAACGGCACAAATACCCGTTCCCCCTATGACCGCTTGCTGACCAACTCATTGTTGGCTTGGCGTGCTGGGACACTGCCCGAAACTGACGACAGGCCCCGGACAAAAGCCGGTTTCGTCTCCACTAGAAATAGACGGAAGAGTGAAGAGTAGTGGCATTTTTGCCAAGAAGATAATACCATGAACAGTACTAGTGAAAATAGTGAGAATGACGATAATATAAATTGCAACAATCAGCATAGCAAACATCGTCACGTAACTAGTAGTTGTCAGAGCTCTATGAATTCTTCATACTTCAATAATCCCTATATACTCTTGCCGAACCTTATCGATGTCGTTCCATTATCAGTCGACCATTACAATGCAGGGGCTGTCTCATTATTGCTAGTGTACATACTATGATAGCTCGTTTGTTGCTTACTGTTGTTATTGCTGTCACTAGTCTTGATTATTACAACCATTCTCATTGATTCTTGTTTTTATGCCCATTGTTTATTCAGCTCTCGCACCAAAGCGTCCTAACAGATGGGGCCGTCGTATGGTGTTTCTACAACAAAGTGAGGTTTCGCGTAGAGAATCCTCAGATTTTGGCTCGCAATTCAGCTCTCGGCTGGAGCTTTCTCATTCATATGTTGTCACAAAATTGAAGCTTCACGTTGAGCATCTTCAAATCAAAATTGAGCTCTCGTGCGAAGCGTCTCTCACATTTTTGTTTTCAAAATGCCAGGATCCCCTGGCTAAACACCGTAACACAAATACTTAAGACAAGAAAACAAGAAATCGGTATTGTAGCCTTCTGCCGCATAGTTCAAAGAAGAAGCGGGCCCACGTTCGCCCGTGTGAAGTCATTGCCGGCAGGTACAGGAAGACGACGGAGAAGCTTCAGAGGCATCCTGGCAGGTCGGGCTGCATTGTTCGGTTCTGTCCACATACTTTCCCGTGAAGAAGCCCTGCCAAACCCTGCCAAAGCCGCTCCTCTCCATGAGTAAGCGTAAGTTGCCAGCAAACTCAAGGGTGCTTCTTTGATTTCAGGTTTATCAGGCTTATCGGGTTTATCGTGTTTGCAAGCCTGAACTTCAGGCATGTGTGTCCTGCCGGTGGAGGTTGCCTTTCACACTGTCAAGTTGATAACATCTTGAGAGGCGGTGCATACAGACCCGTGCGCACTTAGACGTGTAAGCCTATGGATCTGCTGACTTTTCCCGGTTTTTTGTACGTGTTGGAAGTCTGTTCCCTCGGATTTCCACCCTCAGCAGCCGCGTTGCTGCTGGCCAGGCTGATGCAAGCAGTTTGGGTGGTTTCGACGCTGAGGTGGACGAGCTTTTGCTGTGTGCTATCATTTATTCCGCCGTGACATGTTTTGCCTTCTGTGCCAGGCAGTCGTTAAAGCCATTCCAGTTGAGAGTGTATCTAGACAGGCTGAGACTCTCGGCTGTAAGGAGGCAAAGTCGAGCAATGCAAGCGGACGAAAGCTGTGGGCAAAGCTCAAGTCAAGTGCAGCTGCCAAACCAAGGCATGCACTAGACGGCGCGCAGATGTGCATGAAGGTGTCGCGATTGGCTTCAGAGGCTGCATGTTTGGCTCACTACAGGCCAGCTGAATCTAGCAGCAGTTCTCTCATGCAAGGCCACCGGGACAAGCCGTTCGTGGTCGCAGCTCTTGCGGTCGCTCATTTGCAAGGGTTCCTTCTGGTGAGTTGGCAATTCAGCACGTCCTTGCGCAGCCAGCGGCTGCTTAGGTGCGGGACGCATCTCTTGGACAGCGTCTCTGCTGCAGTACTTATCAGCTTTGCAGAGTCCAAGAAAGACTTGACACCTCGCCTATCCTCGCCTCATAGTCCCTTGAATGCTGACCTTGCGCTAGCAGGCGCGCACTGCGTCACGCAGGCGGCGCAGAGTGTTTCGAGGCGCAGACAGTGTTTCCGAAACAGGGGGTTGTTTGCAGCCATTGACTAGGTGTGCCATCGGCGTGCCATCTGATCTGGTTCCTTTGCTGGAGAAGATCAAGACAGCTGAGGGGATGACAAGGCCATAGCTGCATCGAGACAGCGCTCGGGCATCCGGTGTTCAGCAAGCTGCTTTAACAGCAGGCAGGCGGTTAGTGCGGCACGTGACCTGATGCAATGCACGGAGATCATCTCCGAAAGAGGCCATCCCACCATGAGCCTGGGCTAGGCATTGCAACGAGTCGTGCTTGCCGCAGGCTTGAAGGCTACGGAGCTTTCCAACAGGCGGCGGCTGTGGCAACTGTCTTGTCGGGACATTCTGGCACATCCAAGCCATACATGCGTGTGGCAGGCTTCTGCAACAGTGCAAAGAGCTGGCCAGCACGCTGCAGTCGGCCTGGGTTCTCGGCACCTTTTTGCCTGCGAGAAGTTTCTGTGCTTTCTTTGCTCATTTTTGCATTTGCAAGTATCAAGGGATAAGAGAAGCATACATGCAAAGACGCGGCTTGCATGGTCTCATGCTCAACCTGCAGAATCCCGCAGCTTGGCTCACTACAGCTTTTGCGGCTTCAATAAGTGAGGCCAGCTGCTCATCTGCACAAAGCCAGACATGCTACTTTCTGTGGAAGCCCGCCTTGAGCTGTCATGTCTTCGCTTGTCCTGAGCCTGTCCGGCATTCTGCAGCTGTTTTTGTGGAGCGCACACATGCCATCGAGTGTTCAGCTTACAGCACATTGAAGCTCCATTCTTCGTGCCATCTGAAAACAAAGAGTCAGACAAAGCGTGCTGAGCTGTAAAATGCCGGAAGTTTGGGGACATTGATTTCAGTAGGCCCTGCACCCGGGGTGCACCTGTATTTCATTTCAGAAAGATCCTCGCAGCTGAGGTTTCAATTTGGGCTCATGTCAGAGTTCGAGAAGGATGGGCCGCTAGCCATCAGCCAGTAGCAGGGTCGACGTGAGGCTTTGTGCCACTTTGGGAGCTGCAAGCTCCAAGCTGACAGTTGTAATGTCCCTTTTCCGAAGCTAATTTGGGCAGGCAGAGAGGAATGATTCACCTTCCGACGTATCCACCTCTCAAGTTCGACCTGAAGTGCCAGGCCGCTCCCACATTCCTTGATGCTGTCATCCATGGATGTCGCAACTAGTCGTGAAACACTTGAATAATTAGTCCTTCTAGTTGGAGACAAGCGGGGCAAGCTGAATTGGACGAATTTGACAAATGATTCTCACGCCTGACTGTGCTCCTGGCTGCTCATTAAGCAAGGTCAGCGCAATAGGACTTCTCAAGCAACCCCTTCAACAACAATTTCTGGGAAGCCTTGGCAACAAGCGTCTAAGCGCACTATCAACCTTAGAAACAGCCATTCCGTTGCAGTGACATGCTTTAAGCACTTCACGGGGCAGGCATATGCACGATTGCTGTCAAACGAATCATTCTCCTCATCTAGCTGCTGCCTGAGCAGGCAGCGAGAGAGAAGGCGATGCCAACAAGTTGGATGACGTGGCTTGGCAACTGCACGCAAGTGTGCTGGTGATGGTTTCTTGGTGACGGCGCCAGCACTGTGGCATTTGGTAGGGCACCGTGCATGTGTCGCGGAAAGCAGGTCAGCCCTTAGTAAATACAGGTTTTGAACCATGGCGAGGTCTGCTAGTCTGGTCTGCATTCTTCTATCAGTGGACATCCATGGGAGACACATCAGCCCGTGATCTCAAGAGCGATGCCACCAAAGAAAGCAAATAGTAGACCGTCAAACCTCAGCCAGGAAGGTGTTAAAGCACAGTGTGAAAAAAACGGCTTGTCAAGCAAGGCAATTTAATGATCTGCCATGCAAAACGCGCATGGGCTCCGCAGCGGTCCTATATTCGCCGTTTAGCTAAGACATTTAGGCTGCTCGCGGACTGCAGCAGGATATGCGGTTTTGCGAAACTTTGCATTTGGATTTTGCAATGCAGCATTGGCTGCATGCAACGTGTGGTCGAAAACGAAGGATCCAATGCAGAGTAGCAGATGCCGTTCAGGTGATGGAAGAGGGTCTGCAAGGACCCGCGATACGTACTCGTACTGCTATGCTACCAGCCCCCGACGACGAGGACGACGTGACAGGCCAGGGCAAGGGTGCTGTTGTCAACAGAGGCATAGCTTGAAGCTGAGGCTGGTTACAAGATGTTGCAAGCTATATCTTCTTGCGAATGCCTGTTTTGAAGCTCCTGTGAGGCAGTGGCAGCTTGAAACCGTCCCGAACGGCAATGCTAGTTGCTCCGAGTGAGGCATCGCGCTCGAGAGTGCGTGCGCTGCGTGTGCGCATGAGCGAGCTGAGAGCGAGCCATTGGCCTGGTTGGAATGTTGGAATGGGCTTAACCCAGGACCGGGATGTGGAACAAGCTGTGCGCTCACGAACTGCGATGCTTCCGGCTGGCCCAGGACGACTCTACGAATTAGATGGTTAGCTGTCTTGCGCTAGGACCATGTTTGCAGCACTCCAGTCCCTAGCATGTGATAATCAGTTATTTTGTGATCGCTCCTTCGCAGATTCCTGGTGAACAGCGTGTGGCTCGCAGTGCACGTTGTCCTCTTGAACAAGGGCACAGATTTCAATGGCTGTAGCATGCAAAATGCAGGATCAGAAGAAGACGAGGCAGCACTTGGAGTAACAGCACAGTTTCTTTTAAATGGCATTGTCTGGTTGGCTACTGCTTGGCTTCGTGTCGTTCATCTCCTCACATGCGGTGTGATGCCTCAATGCATCTCATGGCCTGTTGGCTATTTGCTGAGGCTGAAACTGCCGTGCGCTCGCGTACTGCCATGTGGCCTCATGACCCCAATGACGAAGGCTTGGTATTAGGGCGGAGCAAGACGGTCCGCGGTGAACATCTCGGCTAGCACACAACTTGCGTGACTTGTGTAGAGTGCACATGCGGTGAGGCAAGCCGAAGCCTTCAAGAACTGCCATGCTGGCTGGTGATGATGCGTTCCCAGCCCCAGTGCTAGACAGTCTGGCTTTCCGTAGTTGGAAAGGCTTCATTGCTGCAGAACTCCAGTCCTGTTCCAAGCCCCTGCTTCACACAGAGTTCCACAACTGTTTACCGCGGCGCTGTCGTTGCTGTTTCTGAGCTACACCTTCTACAGCTTCTAATGGATTCTAAAGCTTGCTGCAGCTTGTCTGCTGCTTTGCCGACCGGGGTGATTCGAGGAGGTGTGATACAGCTAGTCGGATGTCGTGTGGGTGATGCATTCACGCCGGAAGTGTAATCAAGGCCGGGACCAGAGTCGAGCACAGAAAGCTCCCGCTTTCGCAGATCCACGTTCGCACTTGATTTTTGCCGCGTTTCTATTTCATGAGTTTCGATGCTTGTTGAAGTTGCACAATTCCTTCCCTTTGATGCTACCCAGGACTGATGAATGTGTTTAAGAAGGACTCAAACAGAGAAGGGTGATGCTGTCTCGTGGCCGCATGTGCGAGTCATTGTCCAAAATGTGCTCATGCATCAAGTCCATTACCCTGCAACAAGAAATTCCAGAGCACTCCCTGCCATCTTCTTCATGGGCAAGTGGCCAGCTGCAGCAGATGGTGACAGACATGCAGGGCAGGCTCCACATAGCTGAAAAGGTGCAGTTCAAACACAGAAGAGTTAGAGTGAGGTAACTGGAAGATATGATGAAAGGCAAGCAAGGCGAACACAAAGAAATGGACAGCATGTGAAAGAATCTTGTCCACGAGCATTTTTACAACCCTTCTGCCGCATAATTGCAACACTGACCAGCTGCAGGTTTTCTGACATGGAGAGGACAGCTTCAAGGTGCTTTGAGGCTGCAAAAGCCTTATGCGGCAGAGGGCACAGAGCTGCTTCCCCCCTTCCAGGTGGCTGACACAAGATGCAGCGTGTGACCAATGAATGAGTGTGAAAGGCAAACAGGTACTTGCAGCGCCTGAACTGTTGCTTTGTGATATGTACTTCGCGTACACGCTTGTGACTGTACGAGCTCATCGGGCCAATTTCATGGGCGGCTGTCAAGTCACGCTTGCCTACCATTTTCAGAGTTCCGAACCTGACAGTGGAGGACTGCAACTAGCGCGTTGACATGTGAATACTTTGCTGGCGTCGAAAGTTACATCCAATGTTGCGCCCAAACATCTTGCCGCTGTCAGCCACAAATTCAGCATGAGGCACATACGTGCACATGCAGCGCAGAGTTGGCTTTCGCCCCATCGCGGGAAAATCCCGACTATTTGGGAGCAGCCTCAAGACCTGCGACGAGTCAACATGAATGTGCCGCGTTGCAACTTGACCATAGTGCTGGAGCTCCTCGAACACCATCCTCTTCAAAGAAAACGGGATTCTGCAGAAGCAAACTGCGCAGAAGACACATGCGTATCAGAGAGAAAGTTGCTGCCGGACACAAGTGACGCAGTAACAGCTTCAAACATACAACCTCACTCCAGCCTTGCAGAAAAGGATGCAAAGCCCCAGGTGCTTTCAGAGTTGTTGTCATACAGAGGGTATCCTTTTGTGATGGACTTGCCGGCAGGTTTGCCTTGCATCTCAGTTTGTCAGTTTGCTCCAGTCCAGCTTCTTCAATGGCATTGGCTCAGAAGTCTTCAACTGCCATGACGGAAGTCATGCTTCCGCCGATCTGAACAGGCTGTTTGGCACTGCCGCTACGGGTATCACACAGAAACCTGGCTTCATCAGAGCTGAAACAGGCAGTCTGCCAAGCTCCATGCACAATTAAGCAGCTAACCATCTGAGGCAAGATGCGCAGCCATAGACAGAGTGCGCATTCCGCCTTCCTGTTCGACCAGGTTACAGAGCCACAAGCACTGGAGACAGCTTTTCTAGAGGCCCTGTTCTTAAGCAAGAGACGCGTGCGTGGGTGTGTGTGTGTGTGTGTGTTCTTCTGAGATTGAGTTCATCACCTGCCCATGCACCTGCAGGCAAACCATGTGAAAAGCGCGCGAGCTGCAGTGCGTGGATCTCCCATGGAAGAACACGCAGGGCTACACTACCAACCTGGACACAATGCTCCGGACTCCAGCCAGTCACTTCGCGTGGAGGAGTCTTCCATTGCCGACTTGGCCGCCGGCTTGAAGAGCTTGAAATATATGCCCGGAGTCGCAGCAGGTGGGGCTGCGAGCATGGCCAACGTGGTCTTTGGAGTTTCAATTATTGGCCTGCTGGCCTTCCAGGCCACGCGATCTACAGTAGCAAAGTGCTTGCCTCCACGCAAAATTGAGCTGGTGCCTTCTCCGTTGCTGGCAACCGACAAGGCTCCCCAAAGCAGAGACTGCGACCACCAAGACATATAGATGTCATGTCATGGTCAGGTTCAGCTGCGGTGTCTGGGCTGCGGCGATAGCAAACTCCAAGTTTCTGCGTGGGACAGCTGAATGGCCTACAGGCGAAGGGAACAACACCTCCGAGGCTTGATGTGCCAAAGTGGCAGCTGGTCAAGGCACAGCGGAGAACTCACGGAGGAGTTGGAAAAACGTTAGCCGTGCCCAACTGCTGCTTGAAGGTATGTGCAGACTGGAATCTAGCAAGGTCAAATCAAAGCCTGGCATCTGGAGCAAATAGCCACGATAGACAGGGCAGTCAACATAAAATGGTACTCTTCATGCCGCCATTTGACGTGCTACGTGCCAGCTATGTGCCCAGGTCGCCGGGGCAGACGAGATGTCTAGCTTCGCATGCAGGACCCGAAGCTTTTTCTACCAAGTTCGCAGAATCGCACAAAGTCTCATGGAACTTGCTGGTATTTCAACGTGGCTGATTTCTTGCTTCGGTAAAAGTTTCTAGCAAGCAGCTGGGACTTCCCTGCCGCTTTGGCCCGAACTCGCACAGCCAGCCTGTCGGCAGAGGCAGAGCGCACCAGGCCAGACATCATTTTGCGATTTGCATGCTTTTGCATCCGCTTGTCCTCCTGCGAGGGACTGCCATGGCCGCGGCAGCATGCAGGGCCATTGGCCAGGCATGCCAGCCTGCCACGGACCAAGCCAAATATCCGTAGCTTTTCCTAAGAGGTCCTGATAGTTTTGTCTACGCAGAATGTCTGACACCAAGGTGGCAGCTGCGAGCTCCATTGTGCGCGGCACGCGGGGCCATAGCAAGCTGCCTGCGCGGTGCGGGGGCGCGGCAACCGATGTGGACATGCCCTGACCTTACTGGCACCTGAACCTTGCCAAGGGGTGATGTCGGCTAGAAACATATCAATCAAGCTAAAACTTTGGCACAGGCCGCAACGCATGCTCAGCTCCTGGACTCTGGAGCCGCAGTGCACCATGATGCGCTGCTCAGCTCAACTGTTTGCATGCAGAGTACAGGTGGCACTACCGGCCATTTAAGATGAAAGACACGCGGACAGTACTGCAATGCCTTTTGCAAAGGGCAGCAAAGTCCTGTCCAGAGATGGCTTCGCTATGCTTTGCTGGTTTGCGTGATGGTGCTACAGGCCAGTACCCTAGCTTGGCGATGCTTTTCGCAGAGCTGCCAACTCCAGCAACAGAGAAGGCCAGATGTGGTTTGCACAAGTCATCCTTTCCTGGGCAGTTGACTCACCCCCTGTGAGGTGGTGGAAAGACAGCTAGAGGACAAGCGAGAGGATGCAGGTACAAACCTGTCAGAGGACGTGCAGCAGCCAGAGCCCGTGGAGGGTGCGCTTAGTGCAAGCCTTGGTTTTGGTAGCCGCCGCGTAGAGCTGGGGTTGAGAGGCTAGGGTTTTATGGTACGGGAGACGGGTGCATGTTGTGAAAAATGCCGTTTTGGGAATGCATTTATTTTAGGATTTTCTTTGTTGGATTTGTTTGGTTGTAGTTGTTGCTGTTTTGCATCTGTGGCTTTCTGCTTTCCGCTGTGGCTTGCTCTGCTCTTCGCTTCTTCCTGGCTCGTGCTGTTTGCCAACTGCTTTCTGTTTCTTGCTTCTAGCTTTTGCCTTCTTTTTTTGTCATTGCTTTCTTGTTTTTGCTTCCTGCTTGCTGCTTACTGCTTTCTGGTTGTTGCCTTCTGTTTTAGGTGTCTTGCTTGCTGCTTTCTGTTTTTTTTGCTTCGTGCTTCTTGCGTTGTGCTTGCTGTTTTCAGGCTTTTGCTTCCTGTTTATTGCCTTCTGCTTTGTTGATTTCTGCTTCTTCCGCTCTGTTTCTTGTGTTCTCTACCCTACCAACTATATTCAAGGCCGTGCAAGCTAACCTCACGGGTATCGTGCCATCACCTTGTTTGCAAAGGCCCTGAGCTCCGAGCCTTCAAGCAGGTTCTTATCACCATGTTTGCTCGAAACATGCTGCAAGAGTGTTTTTGAAAGGGGGTGCACTTGATCAGCATGACTTCTGGACTCCAATCATCATGCTCAAACTGGGGCGGGGAGGGCTGTTCCCGCCAAACCCCGGATGTTATGAAACCCGTGGAAGGTTGCTTGACAAGAGTAGCCTCCCATCATCTTGTCTGACAATGCTTGCTCGCAAGAGCGCTAGTCAACCCCAACACTCGCACATTTTTCTCTCGGCCTGGTTCTCTGGGTTTCGCTGTTCGTAGTTGCGGTTTCGCATGGAAGGCCTCTAGGCTGCTGCCTGTCTGCTCTGCCTCTGCTGCTCCGTCACTGTTTTGGTAGTCACTTTGCCCTCGCCGTGCGCTGAGCTGTGGTCAACCTCGAGCTCCTTAGGGGTGAAAAAGAGTGGCTTTTTTTTTTTGGTTGGAACCGTTGGCTTGTGTCCTAGCTGCACCAGGGAGACCCGCAAGGAGAAGTGTGTAACTGGGCCTTGTGGTTTTGCAACTACGGCTCTCCAAAGCAAAATTTGATCAAGTTGAGCCCTTCCAAAGGGCCCCGCAGAGTACCAAGGACGAACCACAAGGTTAAAACGGCCACAGTCCTATTTGCCCTCGATATGTCAACTTGTTTTGTTATGGTTGTGGTTTCAGAACAAGTACCAGGGGCGCTTAAGGTGTCCATAGATCCCCGGGGACTAGGATGAGGTTGGCGCAATCTTGCTCAGCCAACAACCTCAGGGCCTCAGGGCATCTAGGAAAATCATCGGAGACATGAGTGCCCAGCGTCTCGCCAGGCTAGATTAGCCCTTGGAACGTTACAGGTTGAGAGCCCAGCAAAAGCCTCCCAGCCTTGTAGTACTGTTTTGGAGAAGGCCAAGGGGTGTCTCAAGCCCTGGGTCTTGATAACGATCATGAGAGAAACCGTGGATAAGCAGCCCACCCAACGCCTGGGCCATGCCGCCACGGTTCTCGGAGCATAGGGGGGGATGGCAATAACAGTGTCAGTAATTCCATAATTTTTTTTATCAATGAGTTGATAGGTAAACCTGTCTATGCTACTCGCAGCGCCCAAGTCCGGGCATCCAAGAAAAGCGGAAGGATGAAGATGGGGATGACTCGTCGAGTAGAGGTGGACAAGGACCTTGCCCTGATCCGTTGGCCCAGGCCCAGGCCCCTTCCAGAAACACAACTGCTGAGGAGCGTAGGAATACGAGTAGATCTAGGCAACGTGACCTGAAACAAGCTGCCACTCAGATTCACACCCCCACTCGTATTGAAGTGGATGACTGTGTGAATGCGCCTTCCGCTGCTCCGATTGCCGCGCTTGAAGCTGGGGACTACCATGATGCATTGGCTGACAACGCGAGAGAGGTCCATGGGACGAGTGCGTCGAAGCTATGCTTAGTGGCAGGGGATTTCAAGACATGTTAGGAGCGCCCAGTCGCTGACACGGATGGACAAACTTGAAAATGCTGGATGCCAAGCGACTCTTGCCGTCAGTGTGTCGCTTCCTGTCTGATGAAAACTGAACGCCGAGCTTGTGTCAGTGTCGGGCCTTACAGTGTCGGGAGCATGGAGTTGGGTCACAGATGCGCGGGACCCATCTCGGAGACATGATACGCCCTTGGTGCGCAGTTTGCGGCAGCTCTTAGCTTCGCGCGTCGGGATGTGACTCAAGTCAGGCCTCCAGGATAGGACATGTCAGCCGGGGTCATTCGTTTGGAAGGAGGCAACAGACCCAGCGATGCAAACGCTTTCCAAGCGCCGCTTTGAGCTCGGACGACCTGGTGGGGTTGACTGAAAAATCCCCTTTTAAAGATTTTATGCCGGGTCCCAGCTCTTCGGCGTTGGCCCTTTCATGTGGTGACCCCAGAAAGGACGACCGCTCCAAAAAAACCTCGGCACAAAACTGTGCTCGGAACACCTGAGATCAACCCAGGAATCTCGTTCAAAAGAGCGTCGGCGCGGACAATTGCGGCCTTAATTAGAACATAGCAGGTAGCGGTGGCCCCACGAGGCAACAAGTAGAAAAACATGACAGAGGGAAAACCAGGTGCAGACATATGTTAAAGCCACCCCGTTTTCACCTTGCGATGCGTCGAAAGAAACGACAGCTAAGGGAATGAAGGACAGTGCCAGAGACATACGTCAGACATACGTTGAAATCACCCTGCCTTTCACCTTGCAAAAAAGTATGAAGATATGACAGAGGGAAAGCTAGGTGCAGCCATATGTTAACACTCCCCCCTTTCATCTTGCAAATAGAGGAATGAAGTGACAGGGGGAAACACAGGTGCAAAGATAGGTTAAAGCCACCCCTTTTTCACTTTGGAAAGAAGAATGAGGTCACCTAGGGAGAAGTGAGGTGGCACAGGGAAAGCGAGGCCCTCCTTTTTCATAAGTGTACCGAATTCACACGCGGAAAACCATGTGCAGACATCGATGGTAGAAAGAAATGACAGCTGACAGGGGCAGCGTCAGCTGCAGACTCAGCTTAAAACAGCTCTCTTTTCACTTTGCGATAGTAAAAAGAATAACAGTTGAGAGAGAGACCCAGGTACGGACATACGTTTTAACCATCCGCGGGTCACCTTGCGATAAGGTAGAAAGATGGGACAGATGGAAGGCCAGGTACAGACACATGTTAAAACCACCCCCCTTTCTCCGCATGGCGCAAACTGGAATGAACTTACCGAGGGAAGGTGAGGGGACAGAGGAAAATCGAGGCTTCCTTTTCGACTTGAAATCAACTGCAATGAAGTGACAAAGGTCGAACCCGGTGCAGACACAGGTTACTTAAAGCTATCCCACGTCTCATTTGGCAATGAGAGAAATGAGGTGATAAAGGGAGAGTGAGGTGACAGAAGGAAAACCAGGTACGGACAGGTGGGAACCATTTTCGGCGCTTGTGATACTGAAGTGACAGAGGGACAGCCAGGTACACGCATGTGTTACAATTACCCTCTTTCATATGCAATAAGTAGAAAGACATGACAGAGGAAATGCCAATTACAGACATATGTTAAAAGCACCCCTTGTCTTCTTGCTATAGTTAGGAAGACATGCCAGCTGAGGGGGAGAAAGCCATGCAGGCACGGAAAAATGTTAATCTCCACACCTTTTCATTTGCGATAACTAGAAAAACACAACAGCTGAGAGAAGGAAGCCAGGCACAGACATATGTCAAGACAAACCTCTTTTCACCTTGCAATAGGCAAAAAGACATGACAGCTCAGAGCAAGGTGCAGGCTCATGTTAAAATCGCAACTTTCGATAAATAAAGGAAATGAGAATTTAAGTGACTATCCGAGCATCCAGGAGGTCAGCTCCGTGACGTTCTATCCTTTTCCCACATATTCTTTGTTCCTGACTCACGGCCTCCCCCTTTTTCCCGACTCACGCGTTCCCTTTTACCCGACTCACACCTTCCCTTTTCCCAACTCGCGCCGCCCTTTTTCAAAGACTCACAGCTTCCCTTTTTCCCGACTCACGCCGTGTTTTGCCGACTCAGACCTTGTGTGCCTGACTCACGCCTTTCATGTTTCCCGAGTCACACCTCAACCGAGTGTTGCCTATGATCACATGGTTCAGGCTGCAACCGAAGTCGTGATCAAAGATTTAAGATGGCCTGAGGATGCACCTCAGTCCTGGGTTATAGAAGATGGCCTGAGGATATGGCCGCGCTCGTGAGAATTGCTCTGGTGCAGGGGTTGGCTCATGTGCGGTTGCTGGAGAATGTTCAAGAGGTTCGTCCGATCAACGTGACATCTGAATCTGAACATCATGTTTGCAAACTACGGGAGGATGGGTGCTCCCAGCTCCAACCCCCCCCGCTGTTTTGAAACCGTGCAAGCTTACCCGGCGAGTATTGGTCCATCGCCCTGTTTTCAACGCTTGACAACAAGAGTGGTTTCAATAGATGCCTAAGCAGCATGTCGTCCGACCAAAAACTCGAATCGCACGCAGTGCCTCCCTACTAGTTTATTCAGAGAGTTAGGTCCCCAAAATCTCAAATCGCAAGAGTAAATTGCAAGTGATATCCCCTCAAGTTTTTTTTAGAAAATCATATCCTCAAATCTCAAATCGCAAGGGGTGTCCCCCTAAGATTCGTTTTTTCCTCCCAAGAATGCGCAAGCTGGCCTGAAAGAGCATGTTTCATCATCGGGGCTGCAGAGACCCTAAGCTCGAAGCCCTAAATTGTGTTCTGTTCACCATGTTTGCAAAAGGTGTTTGCAACAGTATTTTTCAATTAGGATCAGCATAACATTTGACCATCAATCATTATGTTTGCAAATTGGGCAGGGGCCGCGTCCCCCCACCCCCTTGGCGATGTTGAGAAAATCGCTCAAAGTTACCTGCAGCGTGTACCGTCCCATCAACTTGTTTGAAATGCTTGCCTGCAAGGTTTTTTCAAGAGGTGCGCCTGAGCGTAATGTCATCCAATCATGTTTGCAGATGGGACGGCTGCGCACTCCACCCCCACCACCCTGTTTTTTTCAGGCCCTGCAAGCTAGCCGCAAAGAACATCGTCCCATCACTATGTCTTCGATGACCCTAGGCTCTACGCCCTAAACTGCGTGCTTCTCACCATGTTTGCAAAGATTTTGCAAGAGTTGCTTGAGAAGGTAGTTCAAGAGGTTCGTCCGATTAGCATGACATGTGGTCATTGCGTTTACAAGTAGGTGGGCGCTACGCCTTCCCCAGCTCTGGTACATGGGTGTGCTCCAGTGGTTGTGCGCGTCTCTCGCGCTGACACGACATCTGATCACTATCTTCGCAGATTGTGGCCTCCAAGAGTCCCCACGCAGTATGTCAACACTGGCGGGGGCTGAGCTCGATGGTGCTGCCACCACGCTCCTGTGCAAATGCTCATCGCGAAGTGCAGAACCGTCGGTCCACACCGTCGTTTGGAAAGGGTGCTTGCACGTGAGCCAACGTTACATGTTAGCTCTGACCTACGCGCTCTTATGTGGACCGTCTCCGTGTTTTGGATCAACATGCCATTGTGCGAGCGTCCTCGTCTCGCATGGAACTCGAAATCGCGCCCTCAGGTGGGGTGCCCTTGCGCTTGGACTAAACTTCACGCTCTCGCATGAAGCATCCTCACAGTCTGGCCTCTCTCTCGCAGAGCGTCCTCGCTTTTGGCGTGAAATCGTGTTCTAGGGGGGCGTGGTTGCATTTGGGGTTGAAGCCAAGCTCTCGCGTGGAGCGTCTTCGCATTTGGCTTAGAATCTATCTCTCACGAGGAGCGTCCCTTCAATTTAGCGTGAAATCGGGCTCTGACATGAAAGGTCCTCGCATTCTGGCTTGACATCGAACTCTCGCCTGGACTGCCTTCCTGTTTTGGCTTGAAAAGGTCCTCTCGCATGGGGCACATTTTTGCTTGTGGAGTGTGCGCAGTTTGGCTCGGACCCGTGCTGTCGCATGGATCATCCTCACATTTTGGGAAATTAGGAACCAAGTGAAAAACAAACAGCAAGTCCTCAACCGAATCTGCGTCTATAGTTGCTGCTTGCAGTTTTCAGCTTCAAGCATCCAGCATCTGCAATAGCAAAGAGTGTTCCAGGTGTTGCCGATGATGTTTCGGAGATTGGTCGTCCTCGGGAGGAGAGGTGCAACTGCGGGTGCTCCAGTCGCGGGCACATCATTCCACAGGATTGAAGAGAGTCCAAATCCCTGAAAGGTCTCAGGCCCGTGCAAAAGCTCCAGTGACAGCGGTGACTTGCTTAACGGGCACTTGATTTTGCTCATTTGGTGTTTCATGACGGGTTGAGATGATTTGGGCAATGCTGCGCGCTGCTAGCAGCTGCTAGCAACCGAGCCTGGCAAGGCTGCAATGATGATGAGGGATTACGAGATGCGCTTGCGAAGCCTGGAAGTTCAGTGCTGGGAGCTTGTCTTTCTTTGCTTCTCTGACTCCTGGTGTTTTTACAGAGCCAGCCTCCAAGGCCGCGAGCTAAGCTCTCAAAATGCGCGACTTTCCTCGGAATCTTGGCCGAAATTTTGCGAGGCTGTCTGATATTGCTCTGACATCTGACCCAATGCCCTCTTGCAGGAACTGACGGCAGGCGAAGTAAAGCAACAAAAAGGCCCGCTACGTTGATTAAGGTTGTGGCTCTGAATGATCATGCTTGACCTGATCAACATGTTGATGACCCCTTGCAAAGGCCGTGAGCTGAACCTTCGTCTGAGCCGTGAGGCTGGCTGATGCCTCATTCTGCAGGCAACCTGGGCAAAACTTCTCAGGTGCAGGAATTGCGCCGCCAAAATGCAGAGGCAAATACCAAACTGATGGTGCTTGAAGAGGATAGCTGATTGCTGAGTCCTACGTCATCGGCAAGCGGTGACACGCCACGCAAGACTTCAGGAACTTGCGCTCAAGGGGGACCTCCCGCTTCCAGAAGAAGTTCAGACTCATCCTCTCGAAGTTGAGTTTTTGCCCCAGTTAAGTATCTGCGGATTTCATATGCAGCTAGGCTTTGAAGCTTCTTCTTTCGTTTGAGGCCACCGCCTGGGTTGGCTGGGCCTTGGACCCCAGTCGCCTCCAGAGACGAGGAGACTACAAGCTTGGCTGCTGTAGACAGAAGTACATTCCATATGCAAGTGCGACACTCAGCTGTGAGACCTCGGCACCCGCCAACATGCCTTCAGAGGAGCTCAAGTCTTTCTGGGGTTGCGACGAGCTGAAAATGTATTGCCCATCGCTGTTGCTGGCTCATCGTGCCTCCAAGCGGCAAGCAGAGGTTAGGGCGGCTTGTAGCCTCCCGACGTACAGTGCACACCTCAAAGCACTTTTCTCGTGCTTCGCACGCAGAGGAAATCAGCTTGACGGCTAATGTGGGCCCTCCTGGTCTTGACCATCCGGGGCTGAGCGGCCTGAGAACGCAGGCGAGCGAACTCGCGATCCGTTTCTATAATCTGGGTAGCTTCTGAAGGTCACCATGCCCCTTCGTTATTTTGCATTCTGCCTTTTGCTTCTGCTCGGCATCAGCTTAGTGTTTTTCTTTTTGGGCCCTTTTCTCATAGTAGTACATTAGCTGTCGGGGTCTAGAGAATCTATCGGCCATTATTGTTTAACAAATCTACCAAACTAGAGGTCCCCTCCTCATTCCTCATCAACGCCTCAGACTCAAAGTAACGATCCCAAAAACTCTTCGAGAAAGTTTCTGGTGTTCTCGGTCTCCAGTGTGGCTACTGAGAAATGCTGAGATGGTGTCAAGCGTGCATGCATTGCATGATTTGCAGCCATTGAGAGCCGTTCCCAGGGATGCAATTGCAAATGGCATCAGGTTTGTTAAGCTGGCCCCTCGTGCTGGGGATTCCTGTGTCGGCTAGTCTTTGTTGCAGGACGTGCCGGACGTCATTCCGCGCAAGAAATGGGTGCGACCCCATAAATCTCACCTTCAACGGCAGCGCAAGTTTACGAGCAAGAAACTGTCCAAAGCGACTGCTGTGTGATAGCTCAGCCCTTCACTTTTAGCGACGTCAATTTACTGTTTGGGCCCGGCCGCTTTGTAAATCAGGGCGGTGTCCTTTGGCAGAGCAGTCGCTGTAACGAAGCGATTGGCCATGCATGCCCGTCACCTGGGCCTTGCGCGCTCGTGGGCCGCAATCTATTTCCTTTCTTTCCAATTTTGTGGCACTGCTTGCAGGTTAGCAACGTGCTGGCAGACCCAGAGATGTAAATGGGGACGTCGCGTCTGAGACTGGAAGATGCCAGCGCGAGACACATGATGTCTCTGTAATAGTCTGTAATCGATTCAGACGAATGTTGCTTACATCTTTGGAGTCTGAGTGCAGCACTGCGTGACGTCAACTTCAAATCAGTTTCTGAATTTTTCACTACCCAAGCAGCACGACAGTAGCACGAGAGTAGCAGGGGTAGCAACCAAGTGACGTCGTGGTGGCACGTAGCTTGCCTTCGCAGGCCCTCCCGTGGAGCGAAGCTCCTGGCAGTATGCCCAGCTGAAATTCACTGCACATCATAAGAGCTCTATGAACAGGCCGCCTAGGCATTGACCCTGTGAACCCTTAAAAAGTTTTGAGTGCCGGAGCGGTGGTTTTCCTTCCTGGTCTGATGCCAGTGCCCGCCAGCACTTGCAGGACAATGGCGAAGACTTATGAGGGTCTTTCAAGTCTCGCCCGGGAGACGGCAGACGCGACGGCGGCTGCAGCAGTGGCTTGGAGACGATTTGTCACTGCTCCAATAGAATTGCCTGATTGGACACTGCAAGGTAATGGTCGGTGATGCACAGCAGAATGCCCAAGTGTTGAAGGATATACTGGACAAGCTCCAGTGCAAGGCGGACCTGGGTACAGCCATCCTGCAATACTCAGAATGCATGCAACTCCCAATCTGGGGCCCAAGCAAGGGCAGATAGGTTTGATAGGTTTGTGATTATCTTGGAAGGCCAAGGGAACGCAAGAAAAGCCCAAGGATGAAGACAAGGAGACGCCTGATGCGGACACCAGCAGTACCTTGGAAAACAGATGTCCAACTCATTGTGACATCTAAGACCATCTAAGTCTTGAATACGCATGGCATTGGCACAAGAAATGATCCTCAGGTGATGAAGAAACGGCTGAAACTGTAGAGGACTTCTTGGTCAGATCAAAGCATCGGCCCACTTGACACTTTGGGAAAATGCTGCCACCAGGACCGCACATCTTCAAATCGAAGGCTGCTCCTGAAGCTCAACACCGAGGTCGCCAGACGGGTGAGGTTATCACTTCATTCGCAGGGCACCCTCTCCTCGAAGCTCCAAGTCCAACCTACCTGAAGAAGTCTAGAGAGAAGAGCACCACAACCAAGTTTTCAGTTTTAGCACGTTGCGCAACGAACCGTGTGGCAAGCACGGCGCCATGCGATCCAGCGTGCTGTTGCTGCATAGTGCATGTTTCAAGCACTCTGCCGGTTACGAATGGTATGAGCCATGTTTTGTTAGAGTTGTCAGCTTATCGAGCTTGAGTTGAGAGAGTTGCTGGGGAGCTTCACTGCGAGGAGGTTGAGCGCATCGCTGTCTCCTGCTTTCTCTAAAGTGGAGGTGCTGGAGCTCCAGAAAGAGATGCGCAGCCTCATCTTGAGCAATCCATCCCTCATGCCGGAGGTTGGAGTTGCGCAGCACCTTCACATGCAATAGCACCGTCTAATGCGTCAGTTCTAACTTCACATGCCATGGTAATTGTAGGTCACTGGGTCATCTTCCTATGTATGGAGACCATCCCTCGCATGTGCACAGCTTGCAGTCAAGGAAAGAGAGGATCTTTTGCCTTGCAGCAGAGCTGGTCGAGCAGCGCCTGTGCAGCAACTGCGGATTCTGCGGGCCTCCATACTTTGGGAAGGTTCTGCCATTTGACAAACCTGTCCAAAGGATGAAGTGGAAGTTCACCATGCTTGGGCTGCATGGCCTTAACGGCCCATCCACATGGGAGGAAGCCATGCAGGACCCTCGCCTTGACACCTTCCCTGCATGCGCTTAAAGACACTTTTCAAGTGATGTACCGTGAGTGTTCGAATGAAGCAGCTGAAGTATCTTTGCACCCTGCGGACGCGGCAGGAGACGATCCTCTTACTTCAAGCAGCCGTGCTTGGCCTCAGTTACGAAGTGTTGTGGAGCAAAGGGTTACGCAATCCGCATGCACAGGCGAATTGGGATGGTCTTGCAGCGCCAGCACTAAATGCCCGAATTCTGCGAGCTGCTGCCCTCGTCGACGCAAACCTCTTATACAAAATGCTTCAGGCCCACAGTGCCATAGAGGTTGCTGAGCACTGAATACGTAGCCACGGTGCGGGAAAGAACGTGGCAGGATGCGCTGCAGGCTTGCGAGGACGTGACGCCGCCAGGTTCGCATGCGGTATGCGCACGAGCAAATCTGACAACCCTGATAAACTGGAGGTGACACTGTCAAGGATCAAGACGAGAGCAGAAATCAGTATTTGGCGGCCTGGCTGATGTTCCCTGGTCACTCAAATTCTACCACGAGCGCTTGTTCCACCTGTCCGTAGGAGGCGGTGGACCTGCTGTGCCGGCATAGAACATCTGAAGCAGCCATAGCGCATGCATAGTCGGCATAGGATAATTTACTGGTAGGTTAGGTTCTTGTTTCACAACCAGCAATCCCGCGGCAAAGGAGGCTAACAAAACCGATCCTACTGCCTCATGATGCTATGGCTTGGGGCTTCAGGGCCCACAGAACAGCACCCAAATGTAAGTTGTGTGATCCCAAAGATTCATTGCAATGGCTGCTGGTCTGCATGTTTTCTTGAGTGGCATGAAATGCTTGGTCACTCTGTACAGAAGCTTGTGTTTGGTTCTGGGTATTCTCCGCTGGGCAAAGTCCGAACATCGTTTATAACAAATCCACTTTAGCAAGGGTGAGGTTCTTTACGCGCGCGCAGATGAAGCCCGGAGCCGATATTCTCATGCAGCTTCCCAAGCTGATCCTCACCTAGTGTAGCATCCTTGGCACCTGTGGTGCTGTTACATGGTCGGATGTTCAAATCGAAGTGCATGCATTTAGCTTGAGCGGAAAAAGAGCTGCATTCCACAAGCTTGCAGCTGCAAGAACCTTCTTCAGCGAGACATGTAGGGCTTCAGCACATTGGCTGAGGCTAGCACGGCTAGGACTAAGACTTACGGGCCTACACAACTACCGCGTCCGCCACCCGAAAAGTGACGCAGGTTCGTCAACCCCGTCACGCACCCTACACGCATGGGCCGTAAGCAGGAGAACTCCGCCACCCAGCATAGTTGGCCTGCGTCCAGCACCATTCTATGCGTGCATGCAAAGCAAGGGGCCGTAACGCTGCGCACGAAAAGGGGCAGGCAGTGATGGCAGTGCTGGCGGGGCAAAGAGGAAGCTGAGAAGAGCCACATGCTCTCAAGGCTCTGCAAAGGGGAGGGCAGCATCAGGCCCCTGGCCTAGCCGCCGGAGGACAGCGCGAGCATTTTCGCGCTGAAGTGCGATGGCAAGGCTCTGCAAAAGGCGGTCCGTCTCTGCGGAAACCAAGGAATCCCTTGCACTCTGGACTGATCCAGAGGAGATCTATACAGGGATCAGGAAGCTGTAGGTATTGGATCATG